ATTTTATTATTTTTTTATCTGTTTTGTTGCTTCTTCATAACATTTAGATACTGGTTGGACTTGAAGTCCTCAGATATCATATGGAACATGTCTGACACAGGCTGGATCAAAGCTGCCATTGGCAGCACGTTTTCTTCCTGGCTTCGGGGAGCCTGTGTTTTTGTGCATCGCATGGCCCAATTCGACACAGACACCTTCCTAGATGTAAGTCATGACCTCCACTATATATATCTCTAGAGCCTTCCTCATCTCTCACAAAACCACAAAGAAAGGATCCTTCAGAATACAGGGCTCTTGGGTTTTTGGAAATCATTGTTTTTAAGAAGCAAAGTTTCCAGGGACTTGGCTTTTGAAATGTATTTAACAGAGTGCAGTGGGAACACCACAACAGTGTCAAACATGAAACCCAGACTTCTGCTTCAAATTGCTCAGGATTTGCTAGTGTTGCTAAATCTGCGGCTGCTTAAGAGCCTGATTCGAAATAATAGAAGTCTCAAGTCTAAACAAATATTTTCATTTCTGATTCAGTGAAACAAAGATAATAGCTGATAAGTCTGAGAAGATTAAACATAAGGTTGCCTTTCTTCCAGAGTAGCTCCTTCCATTCTCTCCCTACCCTAAGCTTCTCACTCTGTTAAGTCTCAGAACCCAATACTCTTCTGGAAACCAGGCATGCCCTACCCTCTCAGCCAGAGATGGCTAGATTGAGATATTGGATACTCCAATTTTTTTTAGCCTTTAGAAAAATATCCAGGCCAATTGTTGAACCATAAAAAATCAATTAAGTTTAATGAAATACATATTATTAAGTATACACCACACCTATGTGAATAAAACCTATTCACCCTGTTATTTTGCTAAATGGTCTGACAAGATGGTTTAAGGGTCTTAACAGAAATGTAGGCTAACCTAAGAACTAAGAACCCTAAATCACGTTTACAAAGTGGCATAAAGTTGATAAGTTAACTTTGCCATTTCAAAACTGACATTTGTAAAATAAGAATGATACTTTTATTTTATAAAGATAATGTATTTTAAATGCTACAAAAACTTTTATAGATTTATGCTAGTCTTAGATATACACATTACACTTCATAAAAACAATTACACACAGAAGAAATGCTCACTTACAGATGAAAATTTACTTTTAATCTATGACAATCCAGATAGTTATTTTTAACATATGACAATCCAGATAGCCCAGACATACATTTTGAGAGCCTTCTCCCAAATGCTTAAATCTAATGTAAATTGTCAATAGATTAAGTGACTAGTGGAACTTCTCCAGAAAGAGGATCTCTAAAACATTAGTATTTTTCTAGATTTAAGATGCCTAGGTCATTATTTGATTTAAAGAACTGGAGGTATAGTGAGGCCAGCAAATTTTAAGCAATAAGAAAAGGCCTGAAAAATGCCTATTTCTATATTTATTCAACCCACTCAAAATGACTGATGTCTTTTATAGGAATGGTGCTGGAAAGGTCCTTGTGGTTAGCTTATACACTCAGTCCATACTATACATGAATATATGGTCAGGAGGTTACTAGATTCCACCATGAAAGGTAACTTGCAGCCCCAAGGTAGAATAAACCAGTTCACACTTTGGGTTGTTCTCAAATTCACTTGATGAATTTGATTGTGTATGTCTGTTTTTGTAACATATATACATTCTTTCCAATAATTGGAAATTCCCTACAGACACCCAATCACTAGTGATAACTGTTGAATATTTGCTTTCTTATTCCTGGTAGTGATCTTGAGACAGGAGCATGTTAATGAAAGAGAATAAGAGGCTATAGACATTAGCTCTAGTCGTAGCCTTTGACTGACTACTTCTGACATGTGTCTTTCTCCATCATCCAGACGCTTACTACTTATCCCATCACGACCCTGTGCAGCGCTCCCACTGTATACCGGATGCTTGTGCAAAAAGACCTTAAGAGGTACTTGGACAGAAATTTCTATTTGAACCACAACGGAAGCTACCATCCAGCATCACAGATCTCCCCTTTTCTGCACAGGGTAGCCCGGGGTTTCTCAGTCATGCCACTGTCAACATTTTGGACCAAATAATTCTGTGTCATGGTGGGGGTGGGGGGAGGTGGCTGTCCTATTCATTATAGGATATTGAGCAGCATACGTGGCTTCTACCTACTAGATGCCATTAGCACCACCATCCCCCATTTGTAACAATCAAGAATGTCCCTAGATATTTCCTAATGTCCCTTGGGTGGAGAAATTGTCCCTCGGTTTAAGAATCCCTGGAATAACCTCTAGGAGCAACTGGACATTTTCCTGGGGACATCTAGAGCCCTACAGTCCCAGAACTCCCACTCAAAAAAAAAAAAAAAAAAAAAACTTGTCCCCAAATACCACTCTTTTAGAAACATTGTCATTTAAAATCAGCTATAAAAAAAGAAAGGAAAAAAAAACCCCTCAAGTACATTTATACTGCCTTAAAGAGAAGCTAATGAAGTTTATGACTTGAAGGTTATATTCAATTTAGCCAAGTTAGCTGGACGTGCAGTCGAGTTGCAACATATATTTAATTACTTCAGTACACAAGGAGAGAGAGAAACAATTTAAGTAGTGCAGGCTTATCCATCCTCTGTTCCCTCCCCAGGAGGGAAACTGCTATGAGAGACAGAATCAAGCAGATGAATGTTCTTTTCCTAGTCAATGTCAACTCCTTTGTGGCCCTCAAAATGAGAGCACCTTGCATTTTAAGTATGTACGACTTGTGTTCTACCCACACCCTCCCACTCATTTGGTGCTCACTGTATGAGAATCAGGGTGGTCCAGGCTTTCTCACCTGAGTCCAGAAAGGCCAGTGGTTAAAAGCTCAAAGTCCAAAGCTCAAGTCCTCCAAACAGGCAGGGCTCTACTACCTACTGATAGTGTGACTTCAGACACTCAGGATGACCTTGCTAAACCTCCGTCAACTCCATCCAAAAGACAGGACTAAGAGCCACCTCACAGGGTTGTGGTGAGAATTCAATGCAAGCGCCTGCTTGGTGAGATCAGCCTGACAAGTGGGAAGTGCATGGTACGAAGTATCCAATTCAACCCTTTGTTTTGGGGAGACCTTTGGCAATTCTTTAACCTCTCTGAGCCTCAACTTCCTCATCTGTAAAACAGGAGTTGTGAGGATTTGAAGAGAGCTCCTACAGCCTTTACCACATAGGAACTGCTTGATCAACATGAGCTTTCGTATTATTTGGCTTATAATAAGCACTTAGTATCACTCTCAGCATTTTCTCCTACCTGTTTACTTCTTTAAGAGCTAAATTCTCCTCTACCTGCTAAAATGGAAGCTCTGTCGGGAATCTTTGTGTTCATCCTTAACCCCACACGCGCCCGCCCCCCATGCCTAGAACAATTTCTGGCAATACAGTGAGTGCTCAACAAATAATTGTAGAATGAACTTCCCTAGGACTTGCCTCTCCATGCTTCTAGGCTTGTTGCTTAAACATACTAATTATCTTGCAGTGAAAGCCACTCAGATTTCTCTCCCAAAGACCCCATGCAACTCTGTCTCTCCAGATATAAATTCAAGAAGCTGCGCCACTGCTTGACAGGAGGGGAGCCGCTCAACCCAGAAGTGCTGGAACAGTGGAAGGCGCAAACTGGGCTGGAGCTGTATGAGGGCTACGGACAGACAGAAGTGGTATATCTAAAGGGCAAAGTTTACGTGTAGTATATTGGGGGCCTTTCAGTCTCAGGATGCTCAACTGAGCCCAAATGCCCCCATCCTGCTCTAAATTTTTGTGGAGTTTCCCAGAATACCTCACCTTCTCAGAACTTTCCAAAACTTGTGAATTGCCCAGTTAGGGCTGGCTGAAGGAAGATTATGATTGTACCATATGGTCCTCCTGCCTCCCAAGCAGGAGAAATCTCAGGGGTATCAGGGGTGGGTGAGGTTCAGAACTGAGCAGCTCATCTTTCCATTGTGTTGGAAAGAACCCTCTGAGAGCCTCTGTGCGGAATTTATTGCAAGATGCACTTAATGGAGTTTAAAGGAGTGGTTTTCAAACCACCAGCAGCAGCATCCGGGAATTTGGTAGAAATGCAAATTCTCAGACCCCACTCCACACCTGCTGCATCAAAAACTCTGTGATGAGGCTCAGCAATCTGTGTTTAAACAATGCTCCAGAATCTCAAACGTGATTTTGATGCACACTCAAGTTTGAGAACTACTAGTCTAAAATAATATATTTCAGAAGATGAGCTTCCACACTGGGAAAATCCACCAAAAGTGAATCTCAAGTTTCATTGTCATGATATAAATAGCTACAGAAAATTAATTTTTGTATACTTATATCAAACATGTCCTCTCAATAGGGAATAATTTGTGCCAATCAAAAAGGACAAGAAATTAAACCAGGCTCGATGGGGAAAGGAGTTGTACCCTATGATGTCCAGGTGGGTTGAGAAAATATCTGGTTCAATAAAGAAGAACATTTTATAGTTTTCTGCTATTCCTTATACAACTATTCACAACCTGTTTTCATTTTGTGACAAGGAAAATGTTAAGAACCTGAATTGTTTCTTTCATCCTAGATTATAGATGAAAATGGCAATATTCTACCACCTGGCAAAGAAGGGGAAATTGCCCTCAGACTGAAATCTACACGGCCCTTCTCTTTCTTCTCTGAATATGTGGTATGAGAATGTAAAAAGTGCTATTCATACTTCAAGAAAGACTGGGGTCCAAATTTCATATCCACCATGTCTTGCTATGTAACCTTGGGCAAGTGACAAAATCCAGGTCTATTTCATCAGCTGTAAAATGGGGAGGATATCATTTAACTCCAAAGGGTACTGTAAAGATTAAATCCCGTATATAAGAAACTGGCTACAACGGTTGTCCTCAGAAAGGAAAACTGGACAGGCAGGGGTAGGGGTGGAGACAGGGAGATGCTAGAGGTAGAAGAGAGGCTTACATTTTATCATCCTCTTTTTGACATTTTATATTTTATACTAGGAACTATCTTTTTAAAATAACTTTTTCTTTTAGAAGTAGTATGTGTAATATACTAGTCACTTACTGGGTGCCACACCTTTGTCACTATTCTGACCAAACTAACCCCCAAACACCATTTTTGATTCCTAGGACAATCCAGAGAAAACTGCTGCCACGTTAAGAGGAGATTTTTATGTCACTGGAGACAGAGGAGTGATGGACAGTGATGGGTATTTCTGGTTTGTCGGCAGAGCTGATGATGTCATTATATCCTCTGGGTTTGTACATTTGCCACTCTTAAAATGCAGCGATTTGTCAGAGAGGGGGATCTACTGGGAGGGCGTAGTGATCAAAGGCCTCTTTTCCTTTTCAGGTACCGCATTGGGCCATTTGACGTGGAGAGTGCACTCATTGAGCACCCAGCAGTTGTTGAATCAGCTGTTGTCAGTAGTCCAGATCCAATCCGAGGAGAGGTAGAGTGGATGCCATTAATTAAATAGCAACTTCATATTTTTTTCCTTTCTTTTTTTTTTTTTTTTTGAGACAGAGTCTCACTCTGTTGCCCCAGCTAGAGTGCCATGGCGTCAGCCTGGCTCACAGCAACCTCAAACTCCTGGGCACAAGTGATCCTCCTGTCTCAGCTTCCCAAGTGGCTGGGATTACAGGTGCACACCACCAAACCCTGCAAATTTTTTCTGTTTTTAGTAGAGACAGGGTCTTGCTCTTGCTCAGGCTGGTCTTGAACTCCTGAGCTTGAGCGATCCTCCTGCCTCGGCGTCCCAGAGTGCTAGGATTACAGGCATGAGCCACTGTGCCCTGCCCGCAACTTCATAGTTTCAAGTTCTGTCCACTTGACAACTATAAAGACTGAATCAAGAGTGGTCATTTAATTCTCATTATGAGGCATGCATATGGCAAAAATGTATCTAGGCAATCAATTTACAAATGAGTTGTGTACCAAAGCGTGTGTATTAGGATTCTTTTGATGGCAAATGACAGAAATTCAACTCAAAATGACTTTAGTTTAAAAAAAATGTTTTGGCTCACATAAGTGAGAAGTAGTCAGGTACAGCTACATCCAAGGTTCATATGAAGTTGGCAAGACTTAGTCTCTCTTCATTTTTGGCTCTGCTGTTCTTTATCCTGGCTCCATTTGAGCAGATTCTTCCTATTTGATAGCAACAGACTCCAGACTTACACAGCTTAACAATTCTTCCCAGCCCTTCAGGGAAGGATAAAGCTCTCTTTTCAATCATTTCAAGGAGCTCTCAGAATCTCATCTGCCTATCTTAGATCACATCTCTAACTAATGTGGTCCAGGAAATAGTATATGCTGACTGGCCAGACCTGGTTCAAATGTCTTGTTGGAGGTAGGGTTGGTGTCAACCCCACTGAGAAGTTAGAGTAATACTCCATAGAAAAATCGGGGTACTGTTACTAAACAGGATGAACAGATACTGCCTAAGCAAAAATAGCAGATTTCACTGAATGCACAATTATCATGGAACTCAGAATACATTTTCTCACAGAAACAATGCAAAAAGGAGATTGTGGCCAGGTTCCCAAACAAGTGCCACAAGTCCATTCAGGACCTCATGAAAGGGAACTCTGGCAATGACAATAGTAGCTGTAGTTCTAAGGGAAACCCCTATGGTATGGAAGGGAGAAATTTCCTTTCCTCATGGAAGTTTCCTACAGACTCAGCAAGTGGCAAAATTTCAAAACAGTTTGTCTATCAGCATCCTCCCCCATCTCCTTCTGTACCTCCCTCTGCAGAGATGCTATGGATCCCATTCATCCTTCCTGTATCTCCTCCACTCTTCCATCTCTTCCATTCTCCAAATTAGTTTCCTCTACCACCATATTCTCATTCTCTCAATATAACTGATTTCAGCTGAAGAGCAGAAGTAAAAACCAAGTAGAATCAAGGTACAATTAATAATTTAAACAGTCAATGGAAAAGAACCCAAACTATAAAATAAAGAGGTTTATTCTGAGCCAAGTATGTGCAACCACAGCCCAGAGAGCCACACCCAATAAACCTTGAGCAAGTGGCCCCACCCTGGTTGGGTTACAGTTTGGCTTTATGTATTTTAGGGAAACAGGAATTACACATAAAATCATAAATCAATGCATGGAAAGTGTGTATCAGTTTGGCCCAAAAAGGTGAGATATTTCAAAGTGGGGGGCTTACAGGTTATAGGTGAGTTTCAAGATTCTTCCATTTGCAATTGGTGAAAGAAATGAAGCTTTGTCTAAAGGCTTGGAATGTTTTACGTTTAAGATAAGGAAGTCTGTTAATCAGAGACAAGCCGCCAGACATACTCAGACTCAAGTGATCTGTTAAGTAAACTGATGACCTGCAGGTCTGGTTTAACCTTTCTTAAATGGCCTTACGCGTTAACATGATTTAGTATCTTAAGCATGTCTAACCTCCCTTCTCCTTAAGGCAGGCCACTCAGCTTTAAGGTTTTCCTGGGGTGCCCTTGGCCAAAAGGGGGTCCATTCCGTGGGCTGGGAAGCTCAAGATTTTATTTTAGTTCACAAAACTATACTTCCTAACCTCAGTAATTACCTAATTGGTGGGTTTTAAAAAGTATTACAGAGAAAGAAACAATACAAGGAAAAAATGACCTGTTAAGAGAGATAGGTCAATCCTTCCTGAGAGTTGATTTCGTAGGATACAGAATCCTCCATTGGAACTCCCCAGATTCCCTGTAAAGCACATGTTCTCTAGAACCTCCATGTGTCCCCTCCCACATGCTTCTACCAGTATAGGCTTGAAAGAGCAAGTGTTCATCTGTAAATGAAGGACTGCCCATGTAATAGGACCAGCCTGATTGAAATGTTAAATACATATGTGACATGTAAATAGGACTCAGCCCTTGGCTTTACTGAGCCACTGTGCTCCTTACCCTCAAGAATCATTTACCTGGAATTAGATCTCAAAATCTCACTTTATAACTGTATCCAAGCTTTGTTCAGAGGTGATCTCTGACATTTTCAGTCATCACTCAAGCTGCTGTTAACAAATAATAAAGACCTATGTTCAGCATTGGTTCCAAAACCTCGATGTGTCTGAAAAACAAACAGCAATAATTGACTTTTCTGTTGCAGGTAGTCAAAGCTTTTGTTGTCTTATCTGCACCCTTTAAATCCTCCAACCCAGAGAAATTAACTGTTGAGCTTCAGGATCATGTGAAAAAATCAACTGCACCTTACAAATATCCAAGAAAGGCAAGTACTTTGCCCAAAGGTTAAGTTTGTGTTACCAAACTAGGGTCTAAGTTAGTATATAGATTTTATTGGATTTTGACTTTATGGTAGCTCATTATATAGGTAGAAGACATCTTTTCAATTTGTTTGGCTCTGAGAATTTTGGTTTAAAATTATGTATATTAGCATACTACGAATGCATGATAAACTAGAACTCTTTATCAATTCTGCAATACTAAGAATCTTTCTAGGATGAATTAGTCTCATTCCATATCAGATTTTAAAATGATGGCAAAGAAATGCCAAGTGCCGTGTCTTCAGGGATAGCACCTGATTTACCTATCTTAATACTCTTAGCCCTAATACATCTATAAATTTAAAGTGCATGCCTTTAAGTATCAATTGACCACACTGAAGGCTCAGAAAGAAGATAGTATCCAAATAAACTATGGAATCTTTCCAGAAACCATCTTCAAGGAAGAATTTTAAAGTAATTCTATATAAAGGCACAGAGATGGCACTGAATTTTCCTTCTAACCCTGGAATCCTACAGGTTGATATTGACTGATCCTCTGCATGAGAATTCCATTTCAGGCAGTATCATTATAGCCAAAGGGTAATTAATTTCAACCTAAGAACTACTCACATTTTCTCCATTCAATTCAGTACATCAGTGACTCTGATTTGCAGAAACATTGTTTGAGTGCATTTTTAAATACTTAAACACAGTAGTCGCGAGGAAAAGGAACAAAGAGAGGATTTTACGGTCCAGTCAGTGCAGACGGGGAAAATTGTGCATACTCCAAACTATCCCTAAAAAATCTTCCTCAGAACCTGCAGGACTCAACTCTTAAAAGCTCAAAAGCCAAGAACTTCTTTTCCTTTTGCATTAAAGTGTAGCCTCCATTTCCCAGGGGCAGTAGAGGCCTAGATCTACTTTGAACTAGAAGAAAGCAATGGGGTAAAAGTATTCTTTTCTTCTGGCAAAGCATTCAAGTAAATTTGCACTAAAAACCCTCAAGATGGAGCTACATTGTCATCCTTCCTATGTAAACAGACCAGTTTGTGGTGTTCACAAAATTCAATGAGCTTAGGCTAAGACAATCTTGACTTTAAAATTCAGCCTCAGAGTTTCATGAAAGTTCTCCTATTGTACTGACAGTTGGAGGAAGTCAGAATGGAATCAAATGTCTCATAATGTTTTTCTGTGAATTAGGTGGAATTTGTTCAAGAACTCCCAAAGACCACCACCGGGAAAATCAAACGCAATGTTTTAAGAGACCAAGAATGGGGACGAACATAGCTTAAAAAGAAAACTGATGGATTAAGTAGTAACATGGTTGCTTTCTTGTAGTATTTGCTGCCTGAGAATTCGGTGACTACTGTCTTAAAATGTTCTAAGATTTTTCCTGGTTGAAAACTCAACTGTTTTGTACCTAGTCAAAAAATTAAAAAGTAAAAATATAAAAATACATGGATGAAAATGTTATAATGACCAAATTAAAAGGTAATGATTACAATGATTTGTAGTGTTTAAAATAGCAGGGGTGAAATGATTACTTAAAAAAGGAAAGTGCAAAATCAATCTGTATTTCACTTGGCCTGTGCCTGATTGATTCAAAATAAAGAACTATCCTAAGAGAAATACTGGAAACACAATTTGCTCTGCCTAACATCTTTATGGGACCTGACCTTTTAAAGTATTAAAGTCAAAATAGGAGAATAGTTCAAAAGCCAACAATGGATTTAACAGAATTATGTAGTTTTATTGTACCTCATTCTAAAGGAAATTCACTGCAAAATATC